TACATTATCCCTACAAACCAGTGATATTTATTTAATTCAATAATGCCCTGATTTTTTTCTATACTTGAGGTTTACTTCAATAGGAACTTTCATCATAATATGGCAAGAATTAAAGTTCAGTAGATTTGAAGTCCTTTCAAGGACAAAGTATCGGCAAAGCTCCATCCAGTTGGACGGGAATCAGGTAGAAGTGTGCGTAAGTGCTCTGTTCATATTGGCAAACGTCTGGTATTCCAACTTATAGAAGCCTGAGGTGCGCATGCACTGAGATTGTGCCTAATGAAAGCCGTGAAACTATAAGATGAATGTGAGTGGTTTGTGCATTTTTCGAATTCAAGTCGAACAAAAATTGCTTTAAAGGAAAGAAAACGGATCTTTTGCACCAACCGAAGTTAGTGACTTAGAAAGTTGTCTCACTTTCTGCGAGACGACTAGACCAATAGAAATTGAAGAGAGTGTATTAAAACATGAGTTCCCTGTTGATTGCTTAATTTTGAAATAGGCAAATATTCCTAACTTTACTTTTTTCAATTTCAAACAAATAGACAACACAAAAACAGTTCTTTCAATTTACTTTAAACTGTTATCCATCTTGAAGTACATCATTTGAATTCAGAGTGGTTCATTCGTTACCAGACGTGATAAGAAACAGATCAAAGGTGTATTCAGTGGTTGTATCGTCCTAGTAGCGACAATTTACATGCAATTAAATATTAATCGATTTGATAATGATGATAATGATAACGGCAGGAAAGTGTTCAGCGTATGATTTTACCATATTCAAAACACGTATCAGTAAATGATCTCCTTTAAGGGAATTTCAATGTTATTTAACAAACTCAAAAAGCAAGCATAGATATCGCAATAGTGCCTATTTCTCGATGTAGTTAACTGACCGTTTGTGTCTGACCGAGGTAAGAAACTTTGTGTGGAATTGATTACCAGTGTCTCCTTTTGACAAGGCAGGGGTCACAACCACAGATCCATTGACACACAACCAAATGTTAGACCTATCACCCAAACTTAGTAATGCGGGCGAAAAGAGATACTACTACCACCTCTGAATGCCTCTAGAATGTCTTTCTGTCAAAGCCTTTTTGAGTACAGTTCAAATGCGCGCTAATTGCATCCCACTAACATGCTTTTAAACCACGCCAGATGAGAAGTTAATGGCCCAGTTAATGGAGTGACCAATAAAGTTGATCAATGGTGATCTGAATAAGCTCCCTAAAAATTTGGAGGTATGAAGGGGTAGTCTGACCTTCTCTGGAATGAAACTTGAGTTGTGGGTTATTAAACAATGACAGAGACAAATGATAATCTTTAAAATTGAAGCGCCATTGTGCTAGGAAGCCGAGTGAGACCTCAACTGAAAATTTCCTGGCAATTTCGAATTTTAGATTTGACCCACAAATGTTTTAGTGATGACTCACTTATGCGATTTCAAGGGCATCTTAATCATATTGATGAAATTGTGTGGTCAAGATTACCTTTAAACCTCTTCCCTTAAATTGTTTTTTGGCATTAGCTGGTGGTTGTATTGTTGCTTTTTTATTTATTTTATTTACTTCCATGTAAAATCGATACTTCAATTTTTTTTCTAAAATTGTTAATATCGCATATTTTTTGATATAACACAGACAACAAGGACAGCTTAGTTTTAAACATCTACGTATAAATTACTAACTGATCTAAATCTGGTTGGTAGACTATTCGTCAATTTTGAGGTAATAACGTTCTGCCGAAAGTTGAATTCAAATTTTCCAATTGAACTCTTGATTCAAACGTTAAATTTCGCATTTTCCAACATCATATTTCGTGAAATTTGACGCAGCTTTAAAAGTGGAAAAAATGGGACATTTTGGTGTTTTCAAAGTTAAGTTAGTGAAAGTTCATTTGATTGCTCAATTTTTAGTCACCCTCCTTGCACTATTTCATTGTAGCATTTTTCAATATTTAAATATAGAATTTTGGCAGCCAAACGAAAATGTTACTATCAAGTAATATTTTGAGCACATAACTTAGTAATATAACTTGTCATTGCGGTAATTGGAAAGATTTGGATTTCAATTGCTAGGTACGATCGTTCTCTCGGATTGCGAAGAAGTTGAAAGCTCTATTTCGCTTAGCTAGAAATAAAGCGGTGAAGCATGAAATGGAAGTTTCGAGGCTTTAGGTTGGCATAGAAAGCAAAGGTGTTTTTATGAGGCTTAATATTGATGAAAGTTAATGATGGAATTAATTCTTCGCCCTAGGGGCTGGGGAACAGGAAGAAAAGGACTAAATTTATCCACGAAAAATACAACCCCCACACTGATGTTCTTGCTCCCACGAAGAGAAGGGTGGAGAAGATGATTTTTCTCGAAAGTATACAGAATATGCATTTATTTGTGCTTGTTTGCATCACACTCATTCCTATTCCACAAAGGCGAAATCATCGGTCGTTTGATAGATGAAAAAGGAGGTGTGGCTGTTTGGAAGCTAGTTGTTCACTGACACTTAACCCCTTCTCCCCCCCCCCCCCCGCGCCCCCAACTCTACCTCCTTCTCCCTTCTCCATGAGGAGGAGGAGGAGGAAGACGAAGTGTAAAAATACTAATTAAGCCACCGCCGTCACAAACACCCCACTAAAACAAACAGCATTTTTTTTCCCTCGTTGTAGGGTAAGGCAAAAAAACGCCAATATGGAATTCGGTCTTCAACTTGGTTACTTTTTTCTCCTCTCGACTTACTGTCTTAATTGTGGCCAGGAAAATAAACTTATTTAAAACAATAATCACAATTAATTAGCATTAATTCACGTTTGTGTATTTTCAATTTCTCTCTCTCTCTCTCGCTCTTAATTAATTATTTAATTTTTACCTTCTAGTTGTGTTGGGCGTACTAACATTTAAAATAGCAACCAAAAAATAGACAAATGAATCGATACTCCAGTTAATTGATTTTAAATGGCCTTTTCAGTAGACTCTTGGTTGTTTAGACTTTCACTAATATTGCATTAAGGCTGAATGGAGTTCTTTTTTCAACCCGAGAGATTAATTCTATTGATAGGCGTTGCCTTGTCTGAGGAGATGCCAAGATGAAGAAAAGGTTTGCAACTAATCTTTTTTTGCTGGCGTTGTTGTACCAGACGTTTAAAGTGTAGCTGTAATTGGCGGGACTAATTCGACTAATTGATTTCGTCAAATCCGGTTTCCACTCAATTCTCCTCCCGTCTGATTCGCCTCCCATTCCTTTTAGACCACTTCTTTCAATTTTAATGAGTAAATGAAATGATTCTCGTGGATGTTCTGGCTGAAGTTAGTCAATCATTTCCAAAGCATTGGACACATAAAGTTGCAGAAATAGTGGTTTGGGAAGTCAAAACTCTTCCCCCCCTCCTCCCATAAAACCTTCTCCACATTTTAATTTTCTTCAACCAATAGGGCATTTGAGAATAATTTGACGTTTGAAAGGTAATACCTTTGATAGTTCTCTTTGAGTGATCGTTTTTTGATACTAAATATATTATTTTAAGCTTCATAGACATGGCAGTGGTTTAAATCCACTCATATAAATTAAAACATTTTAAGGTAAATTCAGCATTGATTTATGAAATGCACAAATGATAAGAATTGGATTTAATTAAGATAATATGGCCTCGATGTTAGCATCCTCGTTTCAGATGAATTTCGAAATTCATTTGCCAGAAATAATAAATTTTATTATCAAAACTGTATTTTTTAAAAACAAAACTATGAAATATTCAGGCTCAATTAAAATGAGGTGAATTATTAAGGGGAGAAAATTAACGATGTGAGTTAAGTAGACCTGATGGAAAGTCATATACAAATACAAAGTAGAAATTGTGGAAGAATCTGGAATTCAGTAGAAAAAAAAAGGCGTTGTTTTCAACATCTTTCCCCTGAATATTCACTTTGGTGTGGAAGCAAATAATAAAAGAATATCCAATTAACGAGATCTAATAGTAGATTGTGGAAAAGAGAAAAAAGAGCATCTTCACCATTAACTTTTAGGTAATTAAAAAGATTATCAGAAATTTGATTAAATTTCGGAGTTGTGGTAAACCAAAAGTCATTTGCATTCGCGTTTGAGTTGGGTGGAAGATAAAGCAAAGATTTAAATTTCTATAACCAAGTTGGACACCCCCCCTCCTTCAAGTAATTAAAAAGGTCTCCAATTGCAAAATTATTATTATTATTATTATTATTATCATCTAAAAACCCATTGAAAATATTTTATTCAAGCCATTTTCATAAAAAAAGGACATATTCGACTAGATGTCTGCCTTCCACATACCTGCGAATTTTGAGTCATTAATCAAGCATTTAGGGTCATTAACCAGTTAAATTTTCGGTGTCAGAAGCTCTCTCTATCTCTCTCTCTCTCCCTCTCGCCCTCCTTCTCTCTCTCTCTCTCTGTGTGTGTGTGTATATTTAATGAAAAAAAAAATCACACCACAAAGGTGGCCGAAAGTACAGACTTGTCAAAAATTTTCAACTACCTCACACACTCGCTCTCTCGCTCGCTCGCTATGAAAGTCTCCATACGTGCGCGCGCGCGTGGCACGCATTCGGACAGTCCTAATCGCCCGCGCGCGGCCACACAGCACAACCACCACCACCACCACTTCCGCACTAACATTCGCGCATGCTGCAGTGTTCCCGTGGTGCACAGTGCTAGCACGCGCGTATTTTAGCGGTAGCACCCACGCACCACAGGCTATTGCTCTTATCCCCCCGTTTCATTTGGACCGCTCCGATTCGTTCCCCCCGAAACACGTCCTTAAGATAAAAAGCGCCACTAACGACTTATTTCATATACTATTTAATCAAACAGGAGCGTATAGTTAGTTAGTTAGTTAGTTATAGGTATCTCCAAAAATACCGAGTGATATCCGTGTGGCTGATTTATATTTTGTGTGCATTCCTCAGTCTTCGTCTCCGCATCATTACTATCAATACTGCCTCGGCATGTTACTCGCTTATCCACAATTCCAAATGAGGTCGTATTATCTCCTTACATTACTGTGTTGTGTTGCATTTGCGAGCTGTACTCCTACTCAAAGTCTCTACAGACAGTCGCGTGGAATAGAGACAGAATCAGATCCGGAACCGTGGATGATGGATCAACCTCCAACTGATGACATCATTCAAGACGCCAGGCAAAGACAGAGGCAGGAGGAAGAGGAGCAGAGGGAAGCTATTCGATTAGCTGAACAACAGGAATTCGAGAGGCAAATCAACATTGAGAAGTTTAAGCGGACTATCCTTCAACGCTTGCATATGTCCGAGCCTCCTCCATTCGCTTTTCATGGTGGTTTTGCCAATCGGACTAACTCGGAAGGTGTCATGGAATCTCTCCCTATGGCCTTAAGAAATCGAATTATATCCCAACTACGATCGGAGGAAGTCATTGCTGAACCCCCTCCAGATAGAACCGATGAACGAGAAACTCTCATTCTACTCAAACACTGTAAGTCCCAACATACGCTTATTAAGTAATTCGATTACTCAAAAGTAACCATACCACACCACACCGCCTGTCAGTCAAAGACTGTGGTAGGTAATAATGTGGGCTTTCTGGGCAAACTGAGAGGGTGGTTGGGTTTTCAAGAGAGAGAGAGAGAGGGTACCTAGATGTGTGCACGCTATCTATCAGTTTGTCTACCTTATCTAAAATTCAAAGGTTGTCGAAGTCGTTGCAGTGCACAACACCTCTATGACTGACTAATACAGAGAAGGCATCATTGCCTGTGTGTGTGTGTGTGCTGTGTATACGTTTGAGGAGCTGTGTTCCCATTTTTGGAGAAAGTGAGGTGACGTAGCAGCCTTTCTGGTTTGAAATTAGCAGTAGGCACAGCAAGTGTTCCACATCTTCCAACTCACTGTTGCCAAGAGAGAAAACGTACTGCTTTGGGGAGACAGCTGGCTAGAGCCATAGGAGGGAAGGGGGCGGGCGGGCGGCGCTAACGATTTCTTCGAATTTATCCATCACAGACACATCAGTCCACCTCCGCCACCCCACCCCACCCTACCCCACCTCACCCCCACCCCCCAACCTCCAACTTCTCCTCGAAATGGATGTATCCAATACCTTTCTTTTCACTTTTAGTACATTGGAAATTACCCAAGGTCTCTTCGGCTACGTTTGGAATCAGCATGGCCGATGATATCGGTCCCGCGAGAATTCAATCGGCTCTTCTTCAATTTGAAGTGAGCTTTCTTTAAATGCCTTTAAATCTGCATTCAGTCTTCTCGTTTATTGAATGCTTTCACTTCTTTTTAATAGACAAGAAATCCATTGCTAAAAGGACAAAGGCTTGAAGTATGGGAAGTCTTCCTCACACAGGAGGATGAAGATGAATTAATAAGTGCTGCTGTTGGTCCCGATCTTCTGAAACAGTACAGCAACTTATCTTGGATGTTTGATCAAACTCCCACCGGTTATACTAGTCTTCCGGCACCCGCGGTAATTCGGGGTTCCTATGACTCTTTTGCGCATCACCAGAGAAGCGGTTCTTTGCGTATTCGAGAAGGGCGATTAGCTGAAACCTACGTTTCGCATGGTAAAGGCGCAGTCCAAGTTACTTTCGACATTAGCGGGGCTTTCTCCCAATGGCTGTCTCACAGACATCGCATGCCGATGCTGCGGAAGCTAATTCGATCTATAATTGTCATATGCCCAAAGTGTGACAGTCGAATAGATCCCGTGGAAGTTGATAAGGTATGTCGCCAACATCTCAACAGTGACCCATCTTTCTCTACCAAAAATTCATAATCAAACTGTGTTCCCCACCCCCACCCCCCTCTCTCTCTCTTTCCTCTAGGGAATTCTCGAAATTCGGCATCGTAATGTTGTCAAACGAACCCGAAGGAAGGTGGATGCGAAAAATGAATTGACCGTCGAGAATCCTTGCAGCACGAACGGTATTAAATTCAGCTGCTGCACTCAACCATTCACTTTGGACTTTGCCGATGTGGAATGGAATACGTGGATCATTCATCCCAAGTCCGTGATTCCCAATTACTGTCATGGCTCATGTCAATGTAAGCTATTTGTTGTTTGCCTCGAAATACCTCCATGATTTAGCTCAAAACTTAATCCTATTTAAGTTGAGTGGGTGGGGGGTGAATAGTCTGAGAATCAAATCACAATAGGCGCTTGATAAACAATAGTGCCGAGGGGAGGTGAAGGGGAGGGGAGGGGAGGGGGGTGGGACTATTCCGGAGGCGGGAGTAACAATTCAAATGGAAGAAAGTTGAATTTCAAGAAGTTAAATAATAATAAAGTCCCCCCCCCCACACACACACACACTGAAAATCGGTGGTGTGTAAAAAAGATAAGAAATAAAATAAAATATTGTTTTTTTTTCAATTAAATATTTTGTATATTTGATTTGAATTTTTTTAGGGAGTACCTCTAGTATCCTATTAAAGTCCCAAATTAAAAAAAAAAATAAACAACAACAATTATTTGTGAAGGACAAAGTAGGAATAAAAAAAGGCGGCTAATTTCAATAGAATATATATTTGTTTAATCGCAAATTAGGGGAGGGGGGGGGGGGAATATTAATTTGTCAGTGAGATGGGACAAAGTCGATGAAGGAATTTTGTTAAGTGATAAATGAGATTGTACTGCGAGTAAACACGTACGAACAACCGGGTTTCAATTATCAGTGATTAAGTCGGCCCGCGCCTTTCAGACCCCCCCCCCTCCCCACCCCACCCCCAAGGGGGTAATAGTGTGGATTTTTATTATTATTGTTATTATTACACACAGTTAATTATGTGATGTGAAAGTGTAGTAGCCTTAACAAGAGAACCGGTAAACAAAATAGGGGACCTTTTATGCTGCTCTAAATAGCGATATGCACCGACTTGGAAAACACTTCCAGCCCCCCTCCCCCCACCCTTTAACTGTGGGGGTAGATCGAAAAGCGGTGTTCATCCCAAAAATACTCAATTCCAGTCCCGACTAATGTGAACACTTATTTATACCTTCCACTACATGTCTGCATTCTTTTGGAATGCGATCATATAGGGGTTTGAATGATTAATATTATCCAAGTGGAGGAATAATTCCTCCCATTGTTAATGACTTTATTTTCTCTCCAAGTAACCCAATAAATGCTTTGATTTCTTTTCTTCAACCCCTCCCCCCACCCCACCCTCCTAGCGAATAGTTTGAAGAAGACATCGCATTCAGAGATGATGCAAATCTATCGGAACTTGAAATACGATCGTCTATCGGAGGTACAGCGGGGCGCTATGCTCTCCTGTTGTCATCCCATCAAGATGGCGAGTCTTAGCGTGTTATACTTGGATTTAAAAAATGAGCTTAAAATGGACACACTTCATAATATCATTGTTCAAGAATGCGGTTGCAGTTGAGCCTATCTGCAGTCGTCCCCTCCCACCC